GCGCACCTGTCCCACCCGCGCACCTCCTGCCCCCACCCAATCACCTGTCCCACCCGCGCACCTCCTGCCCCCACCCGCTCACCTGCCCCACCCGCTCACCTGTCCCACCCGTTCACCTGCCCCACCCGCTCACCTGCCCCACCCGCTCACCTGTCCCACCTGCTCACCTGCCCCACCCGCTCACCTCCTGCCCCCACCCGCGCACCTCCGGCCCCCACCCGCTCACCTGTCCCCAGCTAGTGAAGCCCGCTGCTGGACTCAGGCGCCTCAGCAACAACACCTCCCACCCCCAGCCCCCAGCGCACTCATGGGGAGCTGGGAGGGGCCTCCTGCACTGAGGACCCCCGCCCTCCCCCCCCACAGGCTCCTGGCCTGGTCAGAAGACCCGGGGACAAGGCCCCTCCGACGGCAAGCCAGTGGGGACTGTGTTCTCAGCGCTCAGACAGTGGGCTTCCACCCCAGCTTCCACTCTGCCTTGTAAAACAAAGCCATCCACCCTGGGACAGGTGTCTCAGGAATCCGGGCAGTTTCCGTTTTACAAGACAAGGGAGTCTGGAGACGGAAGGAGGTAGAGGTTACACAGCAATGCCCCGACCTGCACTCTTACAGATGATTACAACCGTATGTGTAATTTTATCACAGTAAAAACAAAACAAAACAAACCAAAACCAATAAACAGTCTTTGTACCCAAGGACCAGAAACAGCAAGCCTGTGAATGGGTGTCAGTGAGCTATTGCCCCGAAGGATGGAGCAGCCTCATGGTAAACAGCCATTGCTGGGAAGAGACCGGTCCTGTCAGACACACCAAACACTTTGCCTCCATTCCTGAGCGGGGGGCACGGGTGAACTCGGGATGTTCACATCCACCTGACCCAGTTGTCCTTATAAAGCCCAGCTTCACCGTGCTGCCGGGCACGGCTGAGCCTGTGCACACACACATCTCAAATAAGGCCACAAACAGGCATTTATGGGCTCAGCCATACCGGCTTGGAGCTGGCTTTCTGCAGTCGTGGCGAGCTTCCAAATCCTCCTTCTTTCTCCTCATGGGGTCACTGCCCTAGCCATCGAGAGCAGCTAGAAGGAGCAGAGCCCAGGTCTGGACAGGCCCTGGGCTGCTGCACATTCCAGAAACCCATCCAGCACAGGGCGCCCGCAACTGCAGGCCAGAGACCCTGCAGGCCTATTTGGGCAGCCTCATTAGAGAGCGGTGACAAGGCAGCTTGCATCTGAGGACAAAATCTCAGCAGGACTTCACTGTCACCCCACCACTCTGCAGAGCTCCGTTTCCGGGACCCTGTGACCGACCAGCTGGCTTTTTAAAGCTAAGACCTGGTCTGAGGAGCCGGAGTCCTGGGGTTCTGCGGACACTGCGGCGGCGGGTGTGTGTGTGCTGTCCCGCAGTGCAGGAGGAGCCTGAGGGGGACGATGAGAACGGGCGGAGGCAGCGGACAGTGAGGGGACTGCCCCAGGTCAGCCCCCAACACTGCTCCTCCCCCATGTCTCCCCATACAAGCCACTCCTCCCAAAACCTGGCTAGGGCTGGTGCCCTCCAAGGCCTGACCCTAACCCTAAGCCCCACCCTGTCCCCACCTCAACCTTCCCCACGCCCGCTGTGACCCTAGCAGGCAGAATTTACATTCCGTTGGGAGAAGCAGGCAGGGCAGAGGGCAGCCCAACCAGCAGATCTTAAAAATACTCTCCTTAACAAAAGAGTGAATGAGTTCCTGCGAGGGAGATACTTGCTCTGGTTTGTAATTTCCCCGGGCCTGGGGGAACCTAAGGCACAGCGTCCAGACAGCTGTTGGAGAAGGGGGCGAAGGCCTCATCTGCCAAGACTCCTTCTTGCTCAAAAGAAACTCTCCATTCCGAGGTGATCCATCTACAACAGACCCGTCATGGCCGAGTCGCGAGAGCTAATTTTAACCTTCCGAGTGCTCGTTAAGCCTCTTTGAGTTATAATTACCCCCAATCTCGAGACATTACAAGGCAGCAATCAGGAAGTTAGATGTGGACAGGAGAGAACAAAAGGAGCAGGGAGACAGTTTCGAGCGGGCCTACTTAGAGGCCTCGAGCGGCGTGGCTGCCCCGGAATGAGGACGCACGCTCAGCTGCACGCTCGCCCCGCCACCTGCACCCCTGCAGGAGCAGCCTGGCCCGAGGGTCGCAAGGGTCACGAGGGTCACAGAGGCTCCTGGACACTGATTATCTACTGCCACTCCCCCCCCCCCCCCCGCAGGGGCTTCTAAGACACTTCCTTTGCGGCCTTGAGTGGATTCCGGTCTCTAAGGAAAGCGGCTCCACCGCAGGGGGCGGGGTGTCAGTGTCTCTAGTGAGGGGGTGTCAGGGTCTTGGTCCCACAAAGCCCAGCAACTGTGCCATCTGCACCCTCAGCTCCCAGCTGAGTTAGGGACCCCCAACGCCCCGGACTAAAGACCCTAGTGCTCCTGAGCGAGGCTGACAGCCCACTCTGACCCCCCCCTTCACCAGCCTGTCCACATCCTCCACCGACAGACACAGGTGGGGCTGGCCTCCCCAGAGCTGGTGGGCCGCGGAGACGGTCCTGCCACGGCCTCCTTGCTGGCTCCTCCCTACCTTGCCGAAGCTGCCCTTTCCGATGGCCCGAAGGATCTGGAAGTGGTCGAAGTTCACTGCAGAAAAAACAGAGAGATGCCCGGTGAGGCGGCAGAAAGACCCAGTACCATCCACCAGCCCCCAGCTGGAGCAACCACCCAGGGGCCGCCCCCCACCACTGCAAGGAGCCCCCCTGTGCCCTGGAAGTGGGTCCTGGTGCTGGCTGGAGGCTCAACTCACGCTCGTGTGTAATGCAGGGACAGCCTGAGCCAAGGCAGAGAGGTGGGTCCTGGGGGCCACGCTGTCCCTCTTCTGGGCTCCTTGCAAGGCCAGGCCAGGCCTCGCTGCCCACAGACCGCACACCGGATGGGGCGTGAACAGAGCAAATGGCACCCACAGCAACCCTCTTCAGTCCCAGGTACCCAGACACCCCCACCCTGAACTGCCCCCAATGCATGAAGCCCTACAAATAGGGGTCCTGGAGCATGGGAAACAGGCCCCCTGCCCTCCTGCTGAATCTACTGTGGGGTTCACAGGATGAGCTACAGGGGAGCCTACTGTGGCCCCAGGATGAATAACAGGGACTTTCCAAAGGGAGGTCCCCAGGCCTGTGTGAAACCACCCGGATCCTGATTTCTATTAACTTCCTCCAGACATAAGCTCCTCCTAGAGAAAGGGGTCATTGGAAATTGCAGCTTTACAAACTGTCACGGCGCTCAAGAAAGATGCTCCCCGCCACGCACACAGGCCCCACACACGCGCTGCGCCGGGGGGGGGGGGGGGGACTGTGAGTGAGAGCAGTTCGGACACGCTCTCCAGGACTCTGCTTCACTCTGATCCTGATGTGTAAGGTCCACTCCACTGGTTTCCTTCCCATGGGCATCTCAGTGCCCCAGGCAGCTCAGGCCAGCCTTGCTTTCCACACCTGCCCGCCCCCCAGGGCTGCGGCTCCCCCAGCTGAGTCTCAGGCCACCAGCTGGTCCCACCTGTGCCCTATGTCTGCACCCCCCCAGGTCCCC